ATAACTAAATTGATACTACAGCCGCGTAGAACGCGAGCTTAAGTTCATAATTACAATATCAAGAAATGTTGTTAAGATTTCGAACAATACTGTATAAATTTAGGTTTACGTAAATTTCTGTGACATGACTGCAGTTATTTTTCAAAAATTATTATCGAATAAAATATCTGATAGTTAAAGTAGTTATTATGGTTCGCTTACCACCAAATATTTTATAAAATCTTCTAAGAAACTGTTCAATTAAAATTTGAAAGTACTGTTTAATTCACAATTGAAGTAGCTATCAAAGAACTATCAATAGAGTTGATTAAAACACAGGCCTGCCAAGTTGGAATTCAGAATTTCTCCATCACATCAGGTGTTCGAAATATCGTCATATAAATGTCAGTGTTTCTTAATATTGGTTTCAGTTAAGATGTCTCGAAGAAGTAAGAAAAAATAAAAGACCTTCGACCTATTGACATTACAAAATCTAGTGTGATGGAAAAATTCTGATTACTTAGTTGCCTCAAAATGTTTTGGATATTCCACAAAAGCCCAATATTCATAATCAGGGCAAGGATTTGTATGCAAATGCATGTCTGTAGACAGAAACTCGAAATAACTTTTAACCACTTAAAGTAATAGCTAACTCCTTTGGACAATTATTGCTAGGACCAATAGGTGAAAGGTTACACTCATTTGAAAAAAAAAAACGATATAACAAAAATGCCCAATTTTGACCCCCTCTTACTCCGGCGGTTCTTGCACGATAGAATTCATGACCTATGTATCTAGCCTACTATCCAATAGTACTAACCTTGGTGCAAAATTCATCCAAATCGATTTTTGCAGTTAGCTCACTTGATACGAAATTGTCCATATGTATGTATATTTAGTATTGAAAACTGTTCCTTAGGCTTTATAATTATTGTCATTCTCAAGATCGTGATTCTGTTAAATTGGTATTAGAGAAGTACTACTTTATGGTGCATATTTTCCACATTTTTAGTGCATATTTTCCCATTTTATAGTGCATTTTATAAGCGCATAATTTTAATTTTTTAGTGCTTAAAAATCCTTGCCTTGTTCATAATACATTAAAAAAAAAAAACTTTAAAAATATTTTGCCACATTTTTCAACTTTATTGTTTTTACTTGAAAGATAACAAACAAATTTGGAAGCATTCCTCTTCCAAATTTTGAGTGAACACTGTTTTAAAAAGATTTCTTTTTAATTCAATATTTTTAAAATCTTATTATGATAATTCCCAATAAACATCGATTCAAACCTGTGAATATTTTTGAAAATTTTCTTAACTAAATAATGTATTTTCCAAATTGTTTTCAAATTTTAAAGTTTAGCCTTTGAAATAAACATGATAATTTCAAAAAACGCTTAAAAAAATATAATGTGTGATATTTATAAAATTTTAAAAGTTTTGTTTTAATTGAACTTAGAAAAGTTTCTTTCAAAAAATAAATTATTTTAGAAAAATAAAAACAGAACATTTTTTCTACAGCAAGGGAGCGAAAAAACGTTAAATATGGGAGAAATAATCGGAGATATTAAACAAAAATATGCTAAAATAAATGTATGAATGTTTTATTTTCAGGTGATGTAAAAAAATATATGAATTTTGCAATAGTTAGCATTATAATTAGGGTTTGAAATATGTATGAAAATAATAATAAAGAATACTTGAAATACGTTTAAAAATTTTTTTAGTTTCAAGCTTACCTCTAGCCTTTTTTTAAATTTGAAATACATTTGAAAAATACGTTTGATTTCTAACTGCCTTTTTGTTTGAGAAGGCCATAATTTTCCATTTGAAAACAAAAATTTTCAAATTTGTTCTCAAAGGCTATGTATGAAATTTGAATAGGTTTTCAAATACACATTTACATCATTTCAAAGGTTTTTGCTTATTGGGTTATATAATTTTGTATTCACATACATACCTCAATTTGTTTTTAATACCCTACAACCAACTGTGACGGTTAGTAATCACTAATTTAAAAAATTAAATTTAATTAATTCAGAATTAACTATTTTCATAGCTTAAAAGAGTAATAGGTAATGAAAAACTTTATAAATTTAAAAAAATATATATATTTCTTTATAAAACCTAAACAAATTAGGAAGAATTAGAAGCAGTTTAGGGCCTTTAAAAGTCTTCTAAACTGAATAATTTTAATATGTTTTCATAAATTTGTTTGGTATATTGTTTTCATAAAAACATATTATTATTATTATTATTTTTATTTTTAAATCTTCAAGTTGTTTATTAGTCCGTCTCTTTGTCTAATAAACAAAAACTCTTCAAGCATCACAAAAAAAGTATTTATATTTAGATATTTGAAGAAAAAATGTTGATTAATTATGGTTGCTTATGAAAATGTATTACGTCAGTTTGGACAAGTGGAGATGTATATGAAAAAAAGTAGGAAAAATATATAAACAATGAAATGCGGTACTAAAATGTCATGTTTTTTTACTTTGCAACACTTAAAAGCTTCAAGTTAAACAGATTTAAATGACACTTTTACTTTAGCAGTTACTTTGTTTTAATGGGGGTCTGCTAAAATTTATTACATAAGGTAAAAATAATTACTTTTTCCAACTTTAGACTTGTTTGCTAAAAAAAAGTAGTTGATTTTTTTTTAGTTTTAAAGTTGTCAACAAATGTTAAATGGCAAATTATTTAAAAATATTTAACAATTTATGCAGCTTCTAGACGAGCTAAGTAATGTTTTTTTATTATTTTAATAAAAATTAAAATGATGCATTTAATTTATTTTTATTACAAGCACCATTTAAACGAATAAAGAGATAAGAGTTGCAAACCCACACAACTAGTTGTGGGCATAATTGAATATTATTCAGTTTTAATTGAGTTTCATTTAACTCATTAAGAAAATTAATTTTATTGAAGTTATTTTTTACGCATGTGTGAATAAATAAAACTTAAATTTAAAGTTAAAGTAGAAAATGTCCTTACCGTACCCTACAATTCATAGAAATGTTCGAAATATTTGTAGAATATTTTTTATAGCTTAGTAACAACGATTAAATATCTACAAAAATGTTTATGAATTAGTCAACATAAAAGTCCAAAGGTACAACAAAAGTTTGTAATATTTCATCGATAAAGGTAAACACACAGATAAGTAACAACAACACATTAATTAGAAATAAATAAAATATTTTAATGCTTATAAACAACCTAATTCTTCAATTCTCATTCTTGCTTTTTAAACAAAGAAAATAACTTAATATTGTTTTGATTTTGAAATTTGAAGAATATACAATATTTTATAGAGTAGAAAGTGTAACCATTTAATGGCGAATATGCAATTTAGTCAAATAGCAATATATAAATAAGGATATGTTGTATTTTTTTGTTTAAACCACAAGGTTTTTCTCAAACCATTATGAATTAGTATTTAATTTTTACATTGTAATGTTAACCAAGCTCTATTTGGTTAACAAGAAATCAAGTTTTGTACATTTTTTTGTTTTTAATTTACAGAAACAATCGATTTTTTAATTAACCACCTGCTGTAATAAGTAGAACACTTAACACACTTTTTAATGATTAAATTAAAACATCTACTATTTATGTATGAATTCACAATTTCGTAAATAAATATTGTTTTGCATTTATTTTTAAAGAACCTTTAGAATAGTATAATAAATAAGTGTGTGATCAATGTAATTACTTAACTTTTGCATTAAGTTATGATCATGCTAAAGAAAATGTAAATCATTTTAAAAAATTGTACATGATCAGATTAGTGTAAATGTTTTGTTGTTTAAACTACTAAAAGTTAACAGTAATTGTCTGGCAAATACCTCAAAAAATATAGACCGATTAACGACTCCTGCCCAATGTCCACACTACTTTTTAGTATGATTTAGATGTTCTTTAATATCATGTTGTTAATGGCTATATTACACAAAAACCCGAAAGGTTATTTCAACATGTCGTGGGGCATAGCTAGAGGCAAATCTGGAACCGATATTAACCACTTTCAATACCTACCAAACTTTAGTTTTGTGCCTTAAAGGGTTAAGTCACATCCATCCGTGCGTCTGGCTGGCTGACTGTCCATATAAAGTTTGTGCGAAAGATAATAGTCGAAAGAATTTGATTCGACACTTACTTTTTTTGGCCCAAGTACAAAGCTTATTGAAAATAGTTAAAATGAAACCATTATAACTACAACATCTGAACAATCTGAATATGGTGTTTGAGCTCGTAATTAAACCTGTATATCAAGAAAAAGCGCAGAACTAATTTATATACAAGCATTAATGACCTTGCAGAATTTTGAAATTATGGGCGCGCTTTTGGAACTAGCCCCATACAAAAGGCTCTTCAGAAAATGATTTTAATACATTTCACAAATAAACACTAATATCACAATGAATTTCAAAACAAATCAATCGAATGTACTTAAATATTTTATTAGTACAGTCATATTTCATTCGATTACAATTTGAAAAACTAATTTACTAATTTACCCACCATATTATTGTATCCTTTTTCAAGGACATAATACTTTATGAAAATCTCGTGCCAAACGGCAGCTGTAGCAATAAACAAAAGCGAAACAAGTTAAATAATGTTTTAATTGTATAGAGTTTTGCAAGTTGTGCATAGTACCTAGCTGGCGTCTGCTATACTAGAACACTAAAAACCTAAAATGAAAATGTGATGAACTTGTTTTTCGTTGGGCAACCAAATTCAACCAAAAACAGTGTACAAACACACAAAAGAATCAACCACTAGGTAACATGCTGGCAGCCGCGGCAGTCATTGAGAGTGATGATGATAATGATGGTGGTGGTAAGTTAATGCTCTGAATGTAACAATTCATAGATTGAAAACGTGACTACAGGAAAGTACAGAAATATCAATACTATTTGATTTGGTGTCTTTTAAAGATTAAACTAAATGTTTACAGAAAAAACAACAAATATTAAAATGTGTATAGTGGTGTTTGGTTCTACTTACAATGTGTTCCCGTACAGTGTTATGAAATATTTGTAATTTAATGTCTGTAACTTCTTCCTCTTCGTCCTCCTCCATGTTGTTGAAGAATTTTTGGTATTTTTCACTAATAGTGGCCAGTTTAATGAATAGATTTTACAAAATATTATAAAGATTTACTTAATAGACAATTAGAATAACAATTGGAATAACACAAAAAGTAATAAACACTACAGGGGGGTACCGACGAATTTTTATACACCACGCAATTCAATTGTGTTTCTGGAATTATGTATATATTTTTTTTTTTCTTTAAAACATTCCTCCCTCTCTATAAAATATATTAATCGATCTCAAACACTTGTTGTTGTTTTTTATGGTATTAATAGATTTTCACTTTTTTTATAAACTATTCTTATCACGTTTATTAAGGATTTCTTTTTTCGTTTTGTTTAAAATCTTGTTGGTATTTGCTCTTTCACCTTTTCTTTTTATTTGACGTTTTCATTTATGTTTTTGTTGTATTTTTTTGCTTTTAAAACAGCTTATAGATTTTTTATGTTGTCTCCATTAACTGATAGGAAATTAATATTTTTGTTAAACAATTTAATTTGTAGATATTTCCTAAATTTATTTGTATAATTTTTTTCCAAATTATGTGTATCGTAATTTTGTTATATTGAAAATTGTGTTAAAACTAGTTTTCTCAAATGTATTAATGGCCAAAAATCTATTAACTACAATAATTTCCCGAATTTTCACCACACGCGTACAGAATTGAACTAAACTTCTGATAAAATACACAAAAATAATTGTTTTCCTACAACTCAGGGTGCACTTATAAGGTGAAGTCAATTCTACAAAAATAACAAAAGTAGATAATGCTGTCAAAAAATTTACATGTTGCCACCGTATTTTTTTAATTTACCTTACAAAAAGACAATCCCACATGCCCAAAAATCTCTTCACGTAGAGTAAATATGTATTATTAGATACAATTTATTAAAAATTATACATGAATTGAAAAATAGAATATTATTTATTATTTACTTATTAAAAAAGTAAATAAATTATCAATTAAAATAACAAAAAATTAGTATTAGATTACAAAATTGTAAGTATGTGGTAGCAAAAATACAAATTATATACATATAATTTTTTATCAGTCAATATTGGGAACTTATAATACCGTGTAGGTCTCTACCATTGTCGTATAAGAAATATATAATGATTTTTATAGAAATGTCACCAAACCACTATAATGTATTATTAATAATACATAATAATAATAATAATAATAATAATAATAATAATATTATTTACAATTGTGGGATGTTTGTACTCTCAATTGATTAGTAAAAAGTTCCCTATAATTGATAAAATAGAAGCATATTTAAGACAAATAGTTTGTGCAATTTTTGAGTATTTCGCATAAATTTACTACGGATTAAAATGAATATAAAATTTATTTATTAATTTTTTGTCCTAAAAATATAATGAATCCCTAGATAGATGTACATATTTTTTCGGATTGTGGCAACTCTAAATGGTGTACTTTGACAGTTGTATCTATCTGAAATAAAAAAATGAGTGATCAGCTGTTGAATTGACTTTACCTTATGAGTGCACCCTAATTGCTGCCTAGAAATGTTAAGGTTTTAGTACAAAAGGAGAAAAAAACATTTGTTAAAGTGTTACCGGATTTATTAATATCATAAGTGTTTGAACTGAAAATTTGCGCCGAATCACAATTTTTAAATGGATATTTTGCAAAGGACAATTTGGATTTTTATTCTTAAATATAATAAGTCAAAACAATTGACTATTTCAAAAAAATATTTTTAAATTCAAGAAAATGTTTTATGTTACTAAACCTCTGGCAACTTTAGTTTTTTAGGTCACTTTTTATTTGCGTGTTTTCTTTTAAGCGACACGGCCACAAATCAAATTTGTTTGACTCAAACAATAAGTTTTTTGATTGTTTAGTGAAAAAACTCACATGTATATATGCGGTGTGAATTTTTTTACTAACCAATCAAAAAACTTACCATTTGAGTCAAACAATTTAATGTGTCGCTAAAGCCCTCTTCACACGAGCACACAAGTAATAGGATCTGTCAAAATTTTGTGTAGAAGAGATCGGATGGGATCGTCTAAACGCAAATGTAATGAAACCATCACACATTGAGAGAAAATACGGATGAAAATTTGACGGTCGTATGACTCTCTTCATTTTTTGAAATGATTCAAAAAACAAACAAGTCGCATAGATCAGGGATGTATTTTTATGTAAACACATGCAAAAAAGTGAAACAACTGTTCCATCTTACTTTGTTAGTGTTTTATACCAATCGTGTAAACACAAAAACTATAAATCATACGACTTTTATTCTCTTTTTTGTCATACGGATGGAATTTCATTTTACTTTTTCATTAGACTTGTCGTACGTAAAGTGTGACCGTGTGAAAGGCCCTTAAGTTGTTCGGCCAAAATAAAAACATCTGGCATCACATTTTTTAGTACATTTGAAATCAATCTCATGTCATTTTGTTTTTAACATTTTATTTTGTTCATAAATAATAATTGCAAACGTTTTTTAAAGTGTTAACGAAAATTTGCGTAAACAATGTCGGTGGTTATAGAAACCACAATCGGTGATATTACAGTAGATCTTTTTACCGAAGAAAGACCTGTAGCCTGTTTAAATTTTATGAAATTGTGCAAGCTAAAGTACTACAATTATAATCTTTTTCATACTATCGAACAAGGTTTTATTGCTCAGACCGGTGACCCAACTGGAGCCGGAGATGGCGGCAGTTCAATATGGGGTGTTGTCGAAGGACAACATAAAAGATTCTTTGAAGCAGAAAGTTTACCAAAAATCCATCATACAACAGCTGGACTTTTGTCGCTGGTTGGAGCCGGAAAACATTTGGTGGGCAGTCAGTTTTTCTTTACACTAGGAGAGAATTTAACATCTTTGGATGGTCAACATTGTGTGATTGGCGAGGTTGTAGAGGGTCATGAAGTGCTTAGGCAATTAAATGAATCTATAGTAGACGAAAAATTTCGTCCCTACCAAGATATTAGAATAACACATACGGTGATACTGGAGGATCCTTTTCCAGATCCTAGAGGCTTTCGCGAACCTAGTCGTTCTCCCTCGCCTAGTGCTGAGAGATTGAAAAATGGTCGTATCGCTGCCGATGAAGATATTGATGACACCGATGGTAAGACCATGGAAGAGATTCAAGAAATGCTGGCTGAACGTGAAGCCAAAGCTAGAGCTACAATTTTGGAAATTGTAGGCGATTTGCCAGATGCTGAAATGGCACCTCCAGAAAATGTTTTGTTCGTTTGCAAGTTAAATCCAGTTACAAATGATGACGATTTGGAAATTATATTCAGTCGCTTTGGAAAAGTTAAAGGATGTGAAGTTATACGAGATCGTAAAACTGGTGATTCTTTACAATACGCATTTGTGGAATTTGAAGAGCAAAAATCGTGTGAAGCAGCCTATTTCAAAATGGACAATGTTCTAATAGATGATCGTCGCATACATGTGGACTTTTCGCAGTCTGTGTCGAAAGTGAAATGGAGAGGCAAAGGCAGAGGCATTGAGGGCGATAGCAAAGGACTAGACTTTAATAATTTAAGAGAGAAGGGGGAAAAACGAAATGGCGATAAAAGAAGAGACTACGAAGAAAGAAATTTTAATTCGGCAAGAAATAGGGAAAGGGGGCAACGTGATCAGCATAAAAGATTATCACGGTCTCGATCTCATGAAAGACAACGCATGTCGTCTGCTGAAAGGCGTAAAGCACGTGAAGAACGTCATCGTGAGCAAGAAAAACAACGACGAAAATCAAGATCACGATCTCGTAATCGATCGTTAGAAAGAAGTGACAGAAGAGAAAAGGACAGGAATTATAACCATAGATCGGAGAAACAAGAAAAACTGCGAAGAAGGTCAAGATCACGATCACGCAACCAATCGAATGAAAGGAGCAGTAGAAGAGATATGGACCGAAGTCATTACAATAGATCAGAAAACGGAAAACGTGACGAAAAATATTTACCAAACAAAAGGTATAATGAGAGAACACGATATTCTCCAGAACCAAGTTATACTAGACATAGATCACCTGATCAAAGGCAAACACATAAGCCAACTTTAGAACGTAAAAGAGCGCAGAGCTCTCCCGAGCATAATAAAGAAAATGGTCCAAAAACTTCGAAAAAACACAAAAAACAGGAACACAAGAAAAAGTCCAAGAAATCGAAACATGACACAAGCAGCAGTGACGAAGACACCTCTGCTGATAGCGATACGTCGTCGGAAAGTTCTGAAACAAGCTCAAGTGAATCTGATAGCTCTTCGGAAGAGGAACGAAGAAAAAAGAAGAAATCTAAAAAGAGTAAACAAAAGAAAAATAAATCAAAGAAAAGTAAAACTAAAAAACATAAGAAATAAATTCAAAAATAATATATTTTTTAGAAATTTATCAAATTTTCAATAACAATACACAAGGTTTAATAAATTTTTAAAACTATTTTTTAGTTGGTGCAGCACCACCACAGCAACCACCCTCACCAGAACCTGACGACTTGGCTTTGCGTCTTGGTGGTATTTCAATATCTGGATTGAAAGGGAAATTTTCCAATCGTGTAGTTTCTGGAGTAATACGCAACTCTAAAAGACAAACTCTAGTTCAATAAAATGTGCATCATTTTTTGTTTTCAATAACTTACCATAAACACCCTCCTCTTTCTGTTTGGCCTGTATGACATTTGTGCGTAACTCTTTGTCCACATCTAAAGCTAATTGTAACATCTAGAAATAAGTTTTCAACTATTATAAAAAATATAAACAAATAATCCGTAAATATCTTGCCTTTTTCACATTATCCACATTAGTTTCTGACATATTCTTCTTGAATCTATCGTTTATCTCTTTACGTCCTGCTTCCAAAGCTCTGTCATCTCCGGCGAATATGAGTTGCCTGGTACGATGTAATTTTTTAAATGCATTTATTACCTTTAATAAATTTTATATTTTTAATTAATATTTTCTCAAAAAAAAATATATATATTACAAAAAGTTACCTCACGTCTGATTTGTGACATTTTCGATTTTTAAAATAATTTTTGTTTTTGTAATGACAGCTGTTTTGTGTTGTTCAATAAGTTGAATTTATGAAGGTGACTGAAAAGAATTTATTTTCTTATATTTTTTCTATATAGACTTTGACAATTATTCTACATAAATGTCAACGATTAAATAAAAGAACCAGCTGCGATGGCTACACGAGGTTATAGAAGCACTGGAGCATTTAACAAAAAAGTGCTGTTAATAGTAAAAAGTCGACTGCTCAAAAAACGACTTTTTGCGATTTTTTTAATGAGAGTTTTGGAATTTTATTTTCAAAATTTTTTGAAAGTTCGATTTTAAGCTCGTAGAGGTCTGACGCAGGCCTGCCAGATTTGCCGATTTATCGGCATTTTGCCGATATTTTACCTTCAAAATAGTAAAGTGCCGATTTCCCGATTTTTGCTTAAAAAATGCCGATTTTTTACCCAATCGAACAAATTAACGAATTTATTATAACTTTACATAAGCAAAAATTACATGGAGCTTTTAAAACAATTGGGAAAGGAAAATTTACAGTACGGTAGAACACAATTTGCTCCATCACCACTGTCAATTGGATCGATTATGAAAAGGAAACACAATTTATGTATGAAAATCCTGAATAGGTTCTAAAAGTCTGATCTAAGGGTGCTAAAATTTTAAAATTTTTAAGAAATTTTTTATGGTTCGAAAATAAATTTACACATTTTTGTGGAAAAGTTAAAAAATCTGGAGAAAATTTCCCATTATAAAAATGTACTCAGCAAAATCTTTACCTATCCGGTTTTTGTTCGACGATAACCAATAACAAATGTGATTTATTTCCTGGATTTAAAATCGGCTTTGCACTAAATTTCTGTCTTTATTAGTCTATTCTATTTCATCATGCAATTTGGAATGGTTTTAACAAAAATTTAAAAAACAATATTTTTTCAAAAAACTTCTAATATTGACTAGGACTAGAACCATTAACTAATTCCACATTAGACACACGCTCTAGACAATTGGTTACAAATCCTATTGTAAAAATTAATATTGTTGATAACGATCACTCACTGTCAAGTAATGTATTAAATAACTACATCACTCATAACCAAAATTTTAAAATTTTTTACAGGGTAAATGTATAGTAATCCACAAATAATTATGCATTTACATTTTTCTGCAAAAGTGACACAAATTCTAATAGATTTTATTCCAGTAAACCAAAGTTTCGGTGTACCCTTACAAAGAGTTATTTTATTAGACCTATTCTGAATAAAAATTCCCTGAGTTATGCATGTATGTAAAAACAATATTGTGATTTTTGAATTTATTTGTGTTATGTTTCTTTGGTACAAAATAGTGTTTCCTTCAATTGTCGATTTATTGCCGATTTTTAAAACGTAAGTGCCGATAAATGCCGATTTTTTGGGAAAAAATTGCCGATATTTCTACAAATTTATCTGGCAGCCCTGGTCTGACGAATTTATTATTACTTTATTAAGCCAAGTTAGAGCTGTGACCTCAGCTATAAATATTGGAACTTGACTGAATATTAATTTATTTAATTATAAAAAATTGTAGTCGATACTTTTTTTGATTTTAATTTCAAATTTACTACAATTATTTTATTATTGTAAGGAATGATATTACATACATTTTTATTAATTTAAAACATACTTTATTTATAATATTTATGAGTGTTAATATTTATTTTCCCAATAAACCAAACGATATTATAACGATATCGAAACGATATCACTTAGGTGATAAAAAATATCATAGTATTTACGTACTAAATGGTACCTTTCCTTATGATATCGTTTTTCCATAAAATTATGATATCGTTTTCGCTATCATAATTTCCAAAAATAATGATAGTTAAATCGCCTTTTTCAGTTTTTTTTCTGTATATTTCGCTATTATACATATAAAAAAGCCTGAAAAGGGAAGGATTGCATTCATTTGTACATATTTACATACATACATTAATACATATTTTAAAGTAATCATATTTTTCATCACATTATGCATTGTCTTGCAAATACCTGAAACTTTTCAAAATTGCATACATGTCAACTTACCACAAAACTGAAGTATCGAACGAAATTCGCGTATTTATTTGGATTATTTATCAATAATTTAGTTGATTTTATTTTAATATCCTTTTTAGTTTTCTTATGTTCGAAAATTTTTATTGAAATTATTTTTATGTTTGAAGTTTTTTTCAAATGTTTGTATTTTCTTAATTTTTTTATTGGAAACAAAATAATATAAAACGATATTATAATAATATCGTTTTAAATAATGAAATATGATATCATAATCGCCCTTTAAAAGCAATACCGTTTTCGCTATCATATCGTTCTTTGGTTTATTGGGTTAAGACAATTATTTGTTTTGCATATTATTTCTAAACCAACACTATAAATAATGTCTTTTGTTTTTTTAAATACAACAAATTATATAAGCATTTCTTTGGTATTACTAATTGTTATGAATTAAATAAATTTAGCTTTGCTACAGTTTTAATAAAATTTAATATTATAGAAAAGAAACTTATATTTATGCGCACACTTGACTAGTTTTATATTTTTTTGATTGAAGAATTTGAAGGTTGTAATATGCATTCTTAATACCAAACTAAATTTAAACTTTTTAATGTTATAGCTTATTAAAAAAAAATCTTAAAATGTTTAATGTTTCCATTACTATAGTAATACATTTTCTCCAAATTGTCATCTTTACAATTAGTTTAATGTTTTTTAAGTTTGTAAAATTTTACGCAATAATCTATCTTAAATGTAGAATCTATGGACATAAACAGATATAAGATTGTTATTTAAATAAAATAAGGGTTTATTTAAGTAGTTCCCAATTTGCTCTAAAAATTTTTACAATAGTATCAAGTTTTTATGAAACATTTAAGTTTTTTGTTTAAACAAAAAATCCTTTAAACATTTTTCTTCTTTAGAAAAAGTTAGTAATAGATTTATCTGCATTATGACCATCGTTTTATTCTTATACTTATAATATTAATAAATAGATCCTATTAGGATTATTTTAACTATATCTAAGGTCACAAGCAAGGTCTAATCAATAATTGAAATTACCCTGCAGTTTGACAAATGCCATGCCTGGGATACATTCTTTTTTTAGGATCGGATAATTATTTAGATTTACATCGATTACTTTTTCAGAAAAATTTTGTTGTTTAATAAATTTGTGTTTCCATGTATTATTTTCTTAAGACGATTAGTCTTGCTTGAGACCACAGATATTCATATACATATATAAAAAACTTGTGCATATACCAAAAATAAAACAAACAAAAAATGTATTTTATATCTAAATAAATACTACTTCATTAAGCCATTAAATACTACGGAACATTTAGAGCGAAAGTTTAATTAACGCTTAACACAATACGTCTATTCAACAAAAATTTATTTTTGGATTGATTTCTAACAGATTTCAATAACAAAATTGTTATTAAACAAGAATTTACAAAGAATTAGATAAAAATTACAATTGACCAAGTTAGATTTTAGGATACCCTACTCCATTTTAAAAAAATTCTTAAAACCTGTTCCCCGTTTCTGTAACTTTGAGTGAGAAATTCTCACATCGAGAAGTGTGAAACAAAAAATTCCATCGTTTCTCGATTTGTGAGTAAAAAGTGTTTCTGTAACTTAAAGTGAGAAGAGGCTGCACGAATTACGTTTTTATTGGAAATTTCCAATAAAACAGCTGTCAAAAACATAAAAATTAAAAGAAGAAAACAAAAATTGCCGAACAAATTTATAAACGAAGAATAAATAAACAAAAAAATATAGAAATTAAATGAAAATTGTTCGAAAAATTATCCCACTAAATTTGCCCTTGGCAAATTCTAAGTTTATGTCCATGTACTTTTTTAGCATTTGCTTCTGTATATCCGAAATTCCTCCTATTTTCTAAAAATAAGTGAACAATATTTATTTTAATCTTAAATAATTATAAATATAACATTACTTTTTCATTGTTTCATATAATTCATGTTTAAATTAAATTTTATTTACTTAAAAATTTCCTTTCCGCACCGTTTTAAAATGTGAGTTTTTTTGACAGTTCATGTGAGAAACTTCTCACAAAATTTTCTTACAGAAACACTTTTACTCACAAATTTCCAATAACTTAAGTCAAAAAACATAAATGACAGATAGTTCTCACAAAATTTTCTTACAGAAACACTTGCATGTGAGAAATGATATTTTGTTTCAATTCACATAGTTTTTTCTTCAATTTCACTGTTTCATGCGAGAAACTTCTCGATGCGAGAGTTACAGAAACGAAGCACTGGGCTCTTGTTGGAACCGTTTATCAAACAAATATTATTTCAGTCCATATTTGTGAAATTTTTTTAATTAAATCAAGACTTCTTAAAAAATGTTACATAAATCCTATTAGATATTAGTCCATTTAAATAAATTTTGTTGACCTGCAATACCACCATTCATTTATGTACTTAATTTTTTATAAATTTTAGAAAACGGCTGAGACATATCGCCAAATATAAAATGTACCGGATCTCGTGTACATTTGATTATTTGAAAGAGTAAGGAAAATAATTGATAAGTCAATATAATAATGGCATATATAGATAAAACATAACATATTCCCAAGGTATACTCATCGAAAACTTCACTGCAATCATCGGGCAATGTAATGGGTATATTCCAAATACGTCCAATTAGTAGCGGATGACAAATAGCAGTAAGGGTTAGATTGACACCAAATACCAGTGTTAAAACGCCCATAATCATGCTGGCCGTATAGTAACGCAGATTATATTGGCCAATGCAACAGTCCAACCAATAGCTGTGATGACTGTGCAGCATTATGCAAGCGTTGCAAACATGACAATGTATAGTGCGGGCCGAGACATATTTACGGCATACGTGACACATATTTGTTTGATGCTGATGTGTGCCACGGTTGTGTAAAGACTTACGAGGAGAATCGTTATCTATTAAGAGGGCTGTATGGGCAGCAGCTTCCTCTTCTTCCTCGGCGGCGGTGGCTTCTGAAATATCGGCTAGGTCATCTTCATTAGACCGCGATGGTAAATCATGACAAGCTGTAGAGTTTTTACGTGTCAAATACATCAAGTAGACCGTTATGCAAGCCATTACCACCAGTATGAAATTTTCCTCTGGCAAGAGTTCCAGCAGCGGCAGAGCAAACTCTAGACCCATGACCAAATACACCACAGACCAGATCATCCACATAAAAAAGAATTTTGTCTTAACATGATTGCGTTTTACAAAATGATGGGCATAGGCCAAGAAAACTACACAAGCACCCAACATAATGTACGATGTTATCTCATTCAACGCAGCCAAACCGATAACCAATGGATATATCACACCCGGTATAACTGCTTCCATGGAAATACGTTTGGCACCACCGCGCCATGGTATACGCAACCTATCCTGGAATGTTAACAGCATGTTTTGTTTATTCTGCTTATTCACCCGTTGGCAAGTTATAAAACTAGTAAACACTAAATCAAAGTCCTGACAATTACAGCAGCAGGCCAATATATGATTTCTTTGTTGCTGCTGATCCAAATATTCACAGCAACAAAGTCGTGTGTTGTGTGTTGAATTCCTCTCCTCTTCTTCGGCTTTTAAAGCTAAGGCTATGTAGTCAGAATTAGACATTATTTAAAATGTTTTTGCATTTCGTTTAATGATTAACCGCAGAAAAAATTTCCAAATCAAGAAAAGTATAAGATAAAAATCCAGGCAGCATGAAAATATTGAAAAAAACATACACTGTGATATGAAGGAAAGATCTTATTGTTTTTGTAATAAAATCAAAATTCAAACTTAAAATATTTAGATTTTGCAAAATGTTCACCAAATTGTTTAGAATCTTACTTTTATTTTTTAATAATATTTCACTAATAAATATACTTTTCAGTGAAATTAATGCCGAAAATATACAAAACAAAATACTCAACCACCACTACTATCGATGTGTGTATCAGGGCTGGCACAGTTGCTACAATTGGACTTTTAAAGGTACAATCGATACTTAAAAGTACAAATTGTATTAGAATTAGGGTTCTATAAATCGACTTTCGAATAATCGAACAATCGACTTTTTGTCGAAAAAAGTCGAAAAGTCGAAGTCGACTATTTTGTTCCAAAAAAGTCGATAACTCGACTATCGTCTATGAAAAAAGTCGAAAAGTCGACTTTGTAAATAAAAGTCGACTTTGTAAATAAAAGTCGAAAAAAGTCGAAAAGTCAAAAATCGGAAAGTCGAAAAAAGTTGAAAAGTCGAAAAAAGTCGATAAGTTGAAAAAAGTCAAAGAAAGTCGAAAAGCCGAAAAAAGTCGAAAAGTCGGAAAAAGTCGAAAAAAGTCGAAAATTTTAAAAAAGTGGAAAAGAGGTCAAAAACTCTAAAATAGTAGGAAAAACTCGAAAAAAGTAAAAAAAATAGTCGAAAAAAGTCGAAATAAATCGAAAATAGTCAAAAAGTCGTAAAAAATCAAAAAGTCGGAAAAAGTCGAAAAAAGTCGAAAAGTCGAAAAAAGTCGGAAAAAGTCGAAAAAAGTCGAAAAGTCGGAAAAAGTCGAAAAGTCGACCATTTATAAAATACTAAGTCGAAGAGTCTAAAAGTCGACTTTTAAATAAATGAAAAAGGTCGAAAAGTCGAAAAATCGACTTTTCATAAAATGGAAAAAGTCGAAAGGTCGAAAAGTCGACTTTTAACTAAATGCAAAAAGTCGAAAAGTCGACTTTTCGTTTCAACTATAGAACCCTAATTAGAATATCTCATTTAGTACAATATTGAAAATAATGCTTGATATTATGAACAATATCTTTAAAAACCCTTGGAATCCCGAGGTAAAGACAAAGATTAGATATAATGAATTTCCCTTAGTTAATAATATAAATTATTACAAATCTAATAAATCAACAGAAATCGTATTACCAACTAAAACATGGATCGGTCCATAATTGTTCTCATGTCATATATTAATTATTTTAGAGCATATTTTGTATTATATGTTTTTGGGCTTAATATATTTATATTGTGTGTTCGTAAAAAGCAAATAAACATTTACCCTTACATTCTTAAATGCTTAATACACTTGTTGAGGGTTTATTTTATTCAAACTATATAAAGTCTATGTTAAAAAATTTATGTTAATGATTTTCATTTTATACAGCCATAGTCAAAAAAGTACATGTTTTAATGCTGGTTAGTACTACAGTTCTTAAATATAATTTACCATCACTAATATGTACAACGTAGAGCAGAAAATCATCTGTTCCATTTGCAGGCCTGCCAGATTTTGCGATTTACCAAAATGTCAAAATTTCAGTTCGTTCAAATTCAAATTATGAAACGGTTTTTCTTTAGAAAAATTGTTTTTATAGTTTTTTAATTGAAATCTGCTGACCCTCCTTATGAATTTCTAAATCGATTTTGAATTTAGAATCTGTCTGTCTGCCTAACGCTCACGTTAAAACTAAACAAAGGAAATCAAATTCATCGAAAATATTCACTAAACAGTGAAAATCGGTTCACAACGTAAAAAGTTATGAGTAAAAATTTCAGACTACCTCGAAAAAATTGCGTTCTTTTCCAATTCTCATGTAGTTTTCTTAGATTTTTAACGTTTGAATTTTGTTTTTTTTCGCACAACTATGTTCAAAATCAAAACAATCGATCCAAAATTTCCCATAGCTCCCATACAAAGGTACATATTTTCGGAAATGTATTTATCGTTAATAACTTCGACAAAAATATTGATATCACTACAAAATTTTTCATATATGTATATAATAGGAACATTAATCAAATTATTTAATTAGATTTATATCGCTCCATAATTGGTCATTGCTCCCATATAAAGTCTTAAGCCGAAAATAACTTAAATGCACATATTTCATTAATGAATGCAGATATCGGTATAAAATTCGACGTGAATGTGTACATATAAACTACCCTGCGAAATTATTCCGTATAGGTTTATAATTGGTTGTAGCTCCCACATAAGATCCCTATACGAATTTCACTTAAATGCAAAGATTTTTTCAGCTTTTGCAATATTTTGTTTTTTTTTTTTTTTCTAATTCAAAATCGGTTAGTTTAGAATTCCATGAATAGTTACTACAAATTTCTAGTTTTATTATTTATATATAATTTTGGGTTTGAGTTTACCACCCAGTCAACTAAAAATTGACACTATATGCACATACATACATATATCATATGTTTACCGTTATAATTTTCTACAGGTGCAGAATTTGTTGTCAAAAGGGAATAAAATATAAACAAACCCCTAAAAATAACAAATACAATACACAATATAAAAGAACAATAAGAATACAGGAACAAAAAGGATATAGAAAATAAAACTGCGACAAAAGTCAACACAACAACCAACATCTGTTTAAAACCTCCCTTTTTATTAGTTTTTTTTTTTTTTTTTTTTTTGACAATAGTCAAAAAGGATATTGATTTTTCACTAAAAGCGACAATAAACGAATGTAAGAGAAAAAAATCTTAGTTGAATCATACTTTTGCAAAAGCGGTGCAGAAAACAAGTTGAAAATTTTGTAATTTAATAAAAATAAATAAATATTAATTGAATATATTAATATAAAAACTTTAGACGAAAAGTTAATGAAATAAAAGTAAAAAAGACTTAAATATTAAAAACTAAATAAATACAAAAAATATCCTTAAATTTATTGAAGCCCTAAATACGTATTTGTAGCAAAGAAAAAAACAAAGTTAATATTTCCTTGGTATCCTTATCGTACATTAACGTTTTATATTTTTTTTTTTTTTGTGTAATTCTGAGTGACACAAAAACAACTAAATACAATAATGGCACTGGATTTTGTAGCCACCTATAAAGTTTTAGTTCTGGGCGATTCCAATGTCGGTAAAACTTGCATCGTTCACAGATATTGTGATGAAAAATACTATGACACATACATCTCTACCATAGGTAAGTAGCCTATTATATTTTATTCAGTTCTCTTTTCAGGTTTTCAAATGTCCTTTTTATCCTACGAGTACAAGGAGAATTTGTGCAAATAAATAATTAATTTGTATTCTGTTTTTATGGATCTTCTTGCAATTTTATTGTGTTTATCTAGAGCTATGGACATAAAATTTAATTAGAATTAAAATAAGAAAATGGCAAGAAATCTTGTTTGTGTAGAACTGAAGGATAATGTCGCAATCAAATATAGAAAAAAATACAAAATTGTTGTAATACGATATAACATCAAAAAGAAAATAATATGTTGAGTAGGATTTCGTGATTACACTTTTGTGTGTTAATAAGAAGATTGAATAAACAATTTATAAGGACAATAAAAAAGTATACCCTACAATATTATATTCGATACCTTGGTGATTTAGAATAATAAATTGTACATAAAATATTGCATCTTTAAAATGAAATTACAGCAAAAGTTTAAATTGAAAAAATTTAAATTTATGTAGTAAAAAAAAAAGAAATTTCTGAAATCCAATTAAATATTGAGAAATAAGAAAATGAAATAAAGAAATCTGATTTACACCAAATTAAAATTCTGAGCTCTAACTCTATATTGAGAAAAAAAAATTAATTAAATTTAAGAATAGCAATTTCGAATATAAGAATAGGTCAACGAAATGAAGGTTTGTGAAAACTTTTGAAACCCATTCGACTGATTTTAATATATTTTTAGCTGCTGAAACCGAATCTGATATCTGTTTTTCTCTATTACCCACCATTTTATCGCAAAATGGCATCGAATATTTTGTTCATATATTACGGACATTTTATATAATTATAAAAATGTATCTATTTATGTTTAAGGAAATAATACGGGTCTTCATTATATATTTTTCCTAAGTTTAATTAAAACGGTTGAAAAGAAAATAATATTTCACTATGGTTTCAATAAAATTTCTCAATATTGCATAGCTTGAGTGTGACCTTCACAGTTTATGGGTTAACATTGATCGATTTTACTAAAATTTCAGATGTATGTTTCCTATTATCTTGAATTTTATATTCTGAAAAAGTTTTACATATGTACATATATAAAATGCATAAAGAAGACCGATTTTCAAAAATTTTACCAAAATATTGTTTTCTCCGAAATCCTCAATATTAAAATAACATATACCGCTAATATGTTAGAGATATCGATCGAATTTTTTCACTATTTTATTCTTCTCTTTATTCTGCATAAATCACATGGAGATGTTATTAAAATTTTACTATTTGCTTAATTGTTAAAAGTTTTGAAATTGTTGGAGTTTTGAAATGGCCTTCTGAACGGTTTTCCATTTATGACTATACCGTTTACCCCATCTAATGTGGATAAAAACTCGAATATGTTTAATGTAATGACATGGGTTGATTAGAATATTTCTCAGTTAAGTGCTTTGTGACACTAAATGATCGGGAAAATTTCTTTGCTTTATATATTATTGGAACGATAATTGTTCACATATTACAATTATTTAATGTTAAAATCCAAAAAGATAAATTTTGTGCTAACATTTTTGTAACAACCTTCAGAGCCGTGGTACCAACAGTTTTTTTTTTTTTCAAAATGCATTTCTATAACTTAAAGTATAAGTCTAGAGGCAGAAACGGCCACTATTCGCAACTTATGTAATACTACAGAATTTTATATTTGGGACACAAGTATACAGATCAAAATGTGGAAAATTGGTGGGTTACTTTTTTTCCATATTCGGAATCAGACCACCAAATAACACTGGAATTGGTGAAAATTATTTAAAAAGTTTTATCATCGTTGGCCTGTCTAATTTAAAAATCCTAGGAAAAATGTTTGAACTTGTTCTAATAAAACTAGTTCTAGAACGAGTGCAAACAGAACCATTTCGAATGCTTAAACAAAAACCTTGGAAGTAGTGATGCTGCCATTACTTCTGAAACCCGTTCCTCAGAACATTGTTGTAGTTAGAAAATATTTCTAAAGTGTTTTCAAGACAACACTAGTTCAATGGAATGCATGCTAGTTCCAAAACAATTTCTTGGAATCAGTTGAAAAAAATTTTCAAAAAATTAACAAATATATTTTTATCTAAATATAATGAATTTAACGAAAAATATACATATTGATTAAATTTCATCAAAATTTGGACCATACGTCCAAATAACAACCAAGTTTTTATTTATAAGAAGAACTGTAAAAGTTAATTTTTCCTTTTAGGTACATTTTTAAGACTTTCAACTCGATGGGACACGGCTTAGAGTTTACCGATTTAGATCAAATTCTCAGCATGAGAGGTTTAGGCTAAGTGGTATACATATTAATCAAATATCGATTAGATTGTGTATTTTTAAACCGATTTTTAAACTATATTTCAAAAGAAAGACCTCATTTATCAATTAAAATTAGATTTTCATAATAGACTTCGCTCCATGTAAACATACATAATTACATTTCCTAGGTAAAGAATAGAGTGGGAACTAGTTGTGTGTCTGCTCCCTTATCTCTAGCTCTTAATGGTATATTTTTTAATAATTTAAATTCTTCCGACAGGTATTGATTTTAAACAAAAACTTATTAATTTGGATGGTGTACCTATAAAATTACAAATTTGGGATACAGCCGGCCAAGAAAGATTTCGCACTTTAACGACAGCTTACTATAGAGGCGCCATGGGTATTTTACTGATGTACGATGTTACCAATTTAGAAAGTTATAATAATTTGTCATATTGGTTAAGAAATATACAAGAGGTAATGTTTAAGATATTTTAAATATTATATAATTTATATAAATAAATGATATTTTTCTTTGAATTTAGAATGCTTCACCGGATGTAGTAAAAGTTTTGGCGGGTAATAAATGTGAATGTTCGGCTACACAAAGAATGGTGGATAAAGAGAGAGGGGAAAAGGTAAGAGTTAGGAAATGAGTCTTAAGTATTGTTTCTAATTTTAAAGATTTCTTTTTTTTTTTTTTTGAAATTTTCAGATTGCCGAAAATTTTGATATGCCCTTCTTTGAGGTTTCTTGTAAAAATAATATCAATATAGAGGATGCTTTTCTATCATTAGCTCGCAAAATACGTGAACAAAGAGAAAGAAGAGTACGTTTATCAGAACATAAGGAACATATGACTATATTTTATATTTTAAAACTTATTATTTCAGGGCGAAAATTTCGATAATGACGATAAACCCCAAGAGAAGAAATCGCCTGGTTCAAATGGTTTGGGTACTTTTAGTCTTGCCAGTTTATCGGAAGCAAATCGCTGTTCCTGTTAAATAAATTAAGCATTAAGAGTAACATAAACTTTCAAATATTTTTTTAAGCAAATACTTATAATACACCTGCAGAAATTAGACGTATAAAAATTATGTCCAAAAATAAAATAAGAAAAAAAATATTATGTTAGCAAGTTTTATCATGTTACATGTATTATACGATTATGAAATAATGAAAATTAGCAAAAACCAAAAATATCTAAATCTTAAACGTACAGATAATGCATTTTTTTTATCATAGTTGTTTATTCCGTTTTTTTCCATAAACTATGTTTTAAATATATTTAAATATAATTTTGTGAAAATTTCGATAATTACACTTAGCGAAAAGTTTAAATAGCTTGTATAATATTATACAATAGTTAAATTTATGCCACAAAAGTTTAAATATTAGTATTAGAAAAAAGATTTCAAAATTACTAAAAACAAAATAAACAATCATACATAGAAAAAGGAAACACTCCTTTTGTTTCAAAATTAATTTTAGTTTCAACACCCTTTTAGACCCATGTTTGACTTGTAATCAAAAATTTTATACTATTGTACTACTTTCAATAAATTTTTCGTAGTTCTTTTGCTTTATTACGGACTATTTTCTTTTCACATAATAGTTCTAGATTAAACTATCTGTTTCAAAACTATACTATAGCATCGGGACAAAATATTTATTCGGGGAATGAATATTTGTTTTGTAACTAAACTTTAATACATTTATATAAAATTAGACTTTATTTTTTCCAACTGCAAATGTTAACATAGAAATATAATTTTAAACCGATTTTTATAAGTTATTTCTATATTTATCCAAATTTTTAGGAATGATATACATTTAAGCCTTCAAACTTAATTCAGATTACTATACTTTTACTAGCGATCTGTCAGAACACCTTCGAAATTTGTTAACTCTGTTAGATAAATCGAAAAATATGGCAGTATATGTATGTAAGTACTCTCCTATATTCTCCCCTTAACAATCCTATCAGAATTATAGCAGTTCTTTTCGAATTAAGCCTAGTAGTACTCTGTTCATATTTGAGAACAATGTTATATGCATATTTTATATGTAGTTTGACATCATTCCTCACGAAATTTTGAACAAAGTACCTAGCTTTAGATTTAATTGAAAGTTATGAAATTTAAGTACATAATTAATAAATTTAATGGTATTAAAACAACTCAATATATTTTTTAAAAATCGCTCAGAAAAATTGCACAGCATATAAATTTTTGTAGATATACAACACATAGTTTTATAATTAAAAAAAAGAAAAGTTTTAAATAAGAAAAATTTTTTAAGCAAAAATCTACTAAAATAGAGCTTGATTCCATGTACTTAGAAATATAAAATATAGCAAATAAAATCCGAGAATATAGCAATAATTTCCGGTTCAACAATTCAAAGCATATTTATTTTTGCTAAAAGAAACTTTAGTCCATAACTAAAATAGATTTCAATAAAAAATCCTTTTTAATTTACCAAAATATTTTGCTAATATAAACAAAACCCATCGAATTATACTAAATAATTTAGTTTTCTTTAAATGCTAAGTACACTATTTTAAAAGAAAAAAATTTTGGTTTTATTTGTATGTATGTATTTTTTCTCTGCATTTAAATTTATTTTGCTAAATTATTTATGTGATTATTTTATTTTTGTAATTTCGTATAGTAATGTAAATATCAACTTTTCTTGACATATTATTTTATATGGTCAATTAAAATTTTATCATTAAAACTTATATTAATACATGCAGAATATAAATGAGGTATTAACATATTAAATCAATATATTAACATAATGAATTCTATATAATCTTAAATACATAAGTGAGATTTTTATTAATTCTATGACAAATATGTCACATAGATAATTTTCTAAAAATATGTATAACAAAAAAAAAATATATATACTATATAATTGTAAAAGATTTCAATAAAATACAATAATTAAAAGAAATATACTTGAGTTTTTTTTTAATATAATATTTTTTAATCATTAATTAAACAAAATTCTACAGAATTTTTAACATTTTCCAAAATTCCAAATAGTGGCTTAATGTAAACATTAGGGTATAGCTTTATAACAATTTTTGAAAATTTCATATCGTCCCTGTCCATTCCACATAGAGTATAAAAAAGGACGTTTAAAGTTTTCGATATTTTCTCTAAACAATATTTTAATTTTTTTTTGATACAAAATAGTGATAGGGTCTAATTTTAGTAATAACCCTAGTAAACATAGAAGTACGAGTATATAATTTGGCCCATAATTTCTTTAGTACCGAATCAGTGCTTTTAGTATTATACTATTTCTTATTGAAAATATTTTTATTGTACCCTCTCGATGTCTTATATTAGGTGGAAATAGGCAAGACTATAGACTAGATTATAGTTCGACAATATACTAGGCAATGGACAATACTATATATTAGACAATAATCAAGACTCAATGTCTTATTATATTTGGTGGACCTGCTAAATTATTAGAATATATTCAAGACTAGACATATACTTTAATGCAGGAAATAGACAAGACTATAATATAGATTATAGTTAGACTACATACTAGACAATAGTCAATATTATACACTATACTATAGTCAATACTATATTCATGACTATAGGCTAAACTATAGTCATTACTATATTCATGACTATAGGCTAAACTATAGTCAAGACTATTGATTAGACAATATTGAAAAATATAGACTTGACTATATTCAAGACTATAGTCAATACTATAGACTAGGCAATAGCCAGACCAGACAATAGTTAAGGCTATTGTCAAGACAACAGACTAGACAATAATTAAAGCTATAGCCAGGGATATAGACTGGACTAAATACTAGTCTAGGACTATAGACTATAGTCCGAACTACTAATAGTCAAGACTACTACCGCCTAAACTATTGTCAAGATTATAAGCTAAACTATAGTCAAGATTATAGAATAAGCTGTAGTCAAGACTATGGACAGGACCATAATAGTCAAGACTACAGATTACAGCTAATATTATAGACGATATTCAGGACTATATTCAAGAGTACAGACAATACTATAGCCAAGACTATATTTTATATTATATACTAGATTTTAGTCAAATTTATAGACCAGACAAGTCAAGTCTGCAGTCTAGTCTAGAGTAGACTACAGTCTAAGCTATTGTTAAAACTACAGACTAAACTATAGTCAAGACTACAGACTAAACTATAGTAAAGACAATAGACTAAATTATAATCAAGACTGCAAACTATAGTCAAACCTTTAGATTAGACAATGGTCAAAGTTATAGACGAAACTGTAGTAAAGGTTATAGACTGGACTATAGTCAATGTTATAGACTAATCAAAAGTATTAACCAAGTATAGAACAAACTATAATAATATAGACTATACTAAAACTATAGTCAATGCAAAGTCAAGACCAAACTATCAAAACTATAGACTAGAGTACCAAAAAAAAAACACATATATATATTAAAAACCGACGTGTACCTATTATTATGTTAAAGAATGTATTCCTTATATTATAATTTCTTCGCGTGTAGCCATAGGTCAATGAACCCATATCAACAAACCTACTGTTAGCTAATCATTAAAAAATAACGCCGTAAAGTCTATAAAAAAATTGTTTGTAATCACTAGTTGCATCATTGCTAGGCAACCAGAAGGCAATTAAAATGACCACAACTTTATGGTGGTTAATATTTTTTCGCTCCTTGCACACCAATAAGGATATAGAACTTTTTAAATAAACATTCATTTAACTAAAAACTAAATTTAAAATACAAAAATGCAAAAAATTAAAGCAAAAGCATCTTCATTACCTATGTTTAATGGTCGTGTATCGGATTCCTCGACATCCAGTACTTCTTCTTCGGTTATAATAGCGACAAAAAATAAAAAACGCGCCACTTTCAATGGTTTTCTTAAGCCCACCGTTTTTTCTATATCAAATTCAGCCAATAATTTAACAGAAAATCGTGAAGAAACTATAGATTCAGCCGAATCGGATGTGATAATAATAAATGGTGCTAGTTCCGAGAAGAGTGCCCAAAGTACTCAGAAATCATTGGGAATAGCGGGTACAGAATTAAGTAATTACGAGAAAATAAAAGTGGTGGGTCAGGGCTCTTTCGGTATTGCGGTACTGTATCGGCGTAAAACTGACAATCATCAGGTTGTATTTAAACAGATAAATTTAAATGATTTAACCCCATCGGAAAGAGATTTAGCCATGAATGAAGTGGAAGTATTTTCAAAATTACATCATCCAAATATTATAAGGTAGTCGAAGGGTTAAACACATTGAAATATTCAGAAGATCTATTCAATATTTGTTTTGATTTAATTTTAGTTATTTGGGAAGTTTTATTAAAGATAATACTTTATTAATTGAAATGGAGTATGCAGATGGGGGCACATTAGCTCAAATCATAGGCGAACGTAAAATGAGGGATTACTTTCCAGAGCGTTATGTTATAGCAGTATTTGAACAAATATCCAGTGCTATAAATTATATGCATTCAGAAAATATTTTGCACAGGTAGGAATTGTTAAGTCGAAAAAGATTTCATTAAAATTTGACTTAATCTTTATATATACCAAGATTTATATACATTTTACTTATTATTATTTAAAAGGGACTTAAAAACCGCCAATGTCTTTTTAAATAAACGAGGTATTGTGAAAATTGGTGACTTTGGAATATCGAAAATAATGAACACAAAAATTCATGCTCAAACTGTATTAGGAACCCCGTATTATTTTAGCCCCGAAATGGTAAGTGCAACAAGGTAATATAACCTTAAATAAAACCATAACTTAATTTTCTTTAATTTAGTGCGAAGGTAAAGAATACGATCATAAAAGTGATATATGGGCTTTGGGCTGTATATTGGGAGAAATGTGTTGTCTACGCAAAACGTTTGCGGCAACAAATCTTTCGGAACTTGTTGGTAAAATAATGAGTGTAAGTTGAATTTCAATGGACAAATTCTGAACATAATAAAAATAAATATTTAATTATATTAAAGGCCGCCTATACACCATTACCCAAAGGATATTCATCAGGATTAAAAAGTTTACTTAGCAATTTATTACAGGTATGCCCAGATTTTTAATATTTTTTACTAATTCTTACTACATACTTACTTACTAAATACTTTTGGTAAATCCCGACATTGATTTAATTTTCTTTACAGGTGGATCCTGCTCGACGGCCCAAAGCTTCAGAAATATTAGAATATTGGATACCATTAATATTTCGTAATCTGGGCAAACATAAAGGGTATATAAATGCAAACTTACCTAAAAATCATATACAATAATAATTTTATATTCTCCAGATATTCTTATGAAGATGATATGAGTTCAACAGCAAATTCTACAGCTAGTTCGAAAGCTGTATCGTTACATGATGAAGTGGCAATACCAGAAAATAGTTCACGCCGATCTACTGTAGTCGATTTAGCTACAGCACAAACTGAAACTAAGGAAATAATGAAAGCTGAGACAGCTCAACCAAATGAAACTGTAGAAAAAAGGTATAAAGGAGATATCTGCAATCTAAATCTTTAAAATATATATTTGTTTTTTTTTTTTATAGATCTGTGTTATATCAACTAAAATCGTTTGGCAATAGTTTTAGCATGAATCCCATACAGTTGCCTCCAAAAGCCTGCATCCTATGTGTGGCAACTAGCGAAACACATTTCGTAGTGGTGAATAATGGTAAGTTCTACATTATGATAATTGCTGTAGAGGAGTCGACCTTCTATATAAATGCTGGGTATATAAGCAAAAGCAGCAATTTCCATTTTGTTCATGATCAAATGTAGAAATGTTGAATTGGACTTAATTCATCCTTATCTGATATACTTTATACAAAGGAAATAAGAAAACTTGATGATATAATTTAAACAAATTTTACTTCTTTCAAAATATCGGAGATTGTTTCCTTTGCTTCTTGTATACCTTTCAAGTATTAGAAGAATGCTCAATCTCAGAAAATGTTTATTATTACAGACGGTTCCGTTTATACGTGGGGTGAAGGTACTCATGGACAATTGGGTTTAAGTTCTTTGGAAGCATGGAAACATTATCCCAGCCGTATGGAAAGTATACGCAATTATCATATTGTCAGGTAAAATAAAACGAATCTTATACATATATCCAATATAATATTGGATGTATCTAGAAGTTCAGAAAGTGAACCAACAGAAAGTGACCCTAGATCTATTCTTTCGGAATTTGATTACCAAAATAGTTACATATATTTAGATTCGATTTATGATGAATTGTATTCTCTAATATCGATATAAATATAAGAAAAAGGCTGACTTTCGGAATATACCTTTTATGCGCGGATATCTACAGAATTTGAAAGATTGATTTATATTAAGGATCAAGTCAGTTTTGTCAAATTTCATCTTAAACCTATAATTTTTTTTTAAATAATTTATTGAAAAATTATTGATATTGATTAGCCAGTTATAAACATTAGGAATAGGATCAAATGTGGCCCGATTTCCGTCATATTTGATAATATTTATTGGTACATAAAACTAATCACGATTACTCCATTATTAACGTATATGTGACAGTTTAAACCACATTCGTTGGGATGTTTTTATGGGAACTTTAGAAGCAAATATTTCTGATCGTGCTCTTCTTTTGTGGACGCTATTGTGCCAACAACCAACAGACGAAAAGATTATACAAAAGAGGAGATTCGTAAAAGATTATAAAACTTAAAGTCAACTTCCTTCAACTCGAATACCGAATATTTATTGTAATTAGGAATAATATTTTGGTATATTGTCTCCTTAGGGATTAGTCCTCTTTCGTTTAATCGAAACTACATGAGGTCTAACTCTTTTGAATTCGATAAAAAGTAAAGTTTTCACTCTTATTTTAATATATCAAAACTTTTTCATTCTCATAATAGTGCCTGTGCTGGTGAGGGTTTTACAATACTACTAACTCAAACCGGTTCCATACTGAGCTGTGGCGATAATAGCAAATATGCTTTGGGTCATGATGATAATAAAACCTATCATAGTCCCAAGATAATAGAAAAATTAGAAGATATACATATCAAGGAGATAAAAGCAGGGACAACACATGTTTTGGCATTAAGTGCAGATGGCTGCATCTATACATGGGGTACAAATGTACAGGGAGCTTTAGGTCTAGGAAGTCTACAAACGCAACAGTAAGTTTTTTTGCATGAGCATAGACAATTACTCACCTATAATTAAATTGTTTGTGATTTTTAGGAAAACACCCCAGAAAATACTTATTTCTCATATTAAATCCAAAGTTAAGCATATTTTCTGTGGGCCAGATACGTCTGCGGTACTCTTCGAAAGTGGTGAAATGCATGTTTGTGGTAGTAACGATTACAATAAATTGGGTTTTGAAAAATCATCGAAAATAATGGCATTGGTATGTAGGAATTATATGTATTACTTGATGTAAACTACTTTATTATATTTTAAATGTTAACAGAAAAAAATACAATTACCTTATCCCATATTGGAAGCAAATTTTTCTTCGACACATTCAATATTTTTGGTAGAAGGTGGTTATGTTTTTACAATGGGCTCAAATGCTTCTGGTCAACGAGGAGTTGGACATTGTAATAATGTCTTGGAATCTGTATCATTGGTGGAGTCCATAAAAGATAGATATATTGTGGTAGGTACTATACTTAGGGGACGTTTCCTAAAAATGATTAAGTTAACAAAAAATCTCTTAAATTTATTTTCAGAAATGCAAATGTAATGATCAGTGTTGTATAGTTAGTTCCGATAATCATGTTATAACATTTTGGGGTACACGTAACGGTATACCCGAAATAGCAGAGGGCAGTTCAACAGATATTCATGAAACTGAAGTAATTTTTGGAATTTCCGTTTGTGCTATATTTGAAATATTAAGTATTATTTGTTTTAAGGTACAACAACAGCCAATGGATTTAGAATTGGGTAATAATACGGCAGCGTTTACAAATTTCTTAGCATCTGTATATAAATCGGAATTGGTATTGGATCCACAGGATATATTAGGGTAAACTGTTTATATTTTGAATGAATAAGACTTCAATATTAATCGTATATTTGTATATTGCAGACTATATTCCTCGCGTGAACAATTGGAAAAAGGTTTTTACGTTGTGGTAAATGATATTTTCCCCCTACCCCATAGTGTTTTAGTATTGGTAGATACTACAACACCCTTGATAGCATCTATTGAAGATTTGTCATAGGTTACTCTAAGACATGGATGTGTGTATATAATAGGTTTCGGGTCTTATTTTGACATTTTTTTATAGAAATTAAGTTTGTACTTCAGTTTAATAAAATAATCTTTTAAAACAACTGTACAAGCGTGCGTTTACGATATAGAAACTTTCTTGGCGCAAGTTTAAATTGAGCATCTTTTATAGCACTTCCTTACAAAATCCCAATTAACAAGACCTTTGTGATATTATTTTTAAAATGATTTTATTTATGTTTATAATGCGTAGTAGACGTTTAAAGGACATCTAAAAACCTAAGATTAAACGAACATACAGATAGCATGTATGAAAAATATTGTTTTTGAGGTTATCAAAGGATTTGGAGCTTTCTTTCTTGTAATAAAAATATATAACTAATACAAATAATAAAATTATGATAAACAAAAACAAGTATAAAAACAATTTAACATTGTTTCTCATTTCCGTAATATCAAATTGTGTTGCAACTAAAAATTCATGGATAAAATAAGATTAAAAAAAGAAAGACAATTGAGTAAACAATAATTTAAATTTCTTTTGAAAGTACAAAAGGGATTCTAAAAGAAAACACAAAAAACACATTCTGAACGTTTACTTAATGGCGTTGTGTTCAGTGTTTATCGGTAGGGTTTTAATAGCGTGAAGATACAGGACCACCATAACGATCTTGTCCTGGTCGGCTGCCGCTGTTATACATGCCACCACTACCACCGGCACTGGGATAACCACCGCTAGAACGTTCATTATAGGTGCGATCATAACGATCCTGTGATGTGGGAATGGTACGCCAACTGTTATCATCTGCAGCACTGGATTTTGGCCAGCCAGAGCCTGAATTGTGAAGGCCTGACGACATACCATTACTGGAATATTTCATAGATGAACTACTGCCGCCACCCATGTGCGATGACGACGATGAGGCCCAAACAGCATTGCTGCTTGAACTGGTGCCATAATTAGCAGAACTGTCATAACGTTTGCCGCTACTGTAATAAACATTTACTTGTGAAACATTGCACGTAACATTAACTACACTTCGCAATACACTTTACCTCATATCATCCATGCGTCTGTAATTGTGAGATGAATTACGGTCATCATAACGTCCGCTGCCACTAGAGCTCTTATGCAACGATGAACTGGAATGATAAGAACTGCCTCCCGCAACACCTACGCTAGATGAAGGCATATGACGTATTTCAACTTCACGCTTGTAGTCGTCGCGTGATGATTTGCCGGCTGAACTATAATCGTCTAGGCCCCGTTTGGAGGAGGACGATGCCATATAATCAGAACCACGTTTGCTATAATCGTCTGTACTACGTTTGGTAGGTACTGCTGCATAGTCATCTATAGCTGAACGTTTAGCACCTGCACCACTGCTGCTGTAATCCATTCTCTTAGAGGAAGATGAACTATAGTCATCTAAACGTTTGCTGGATGAAGTACTGATATAATCATCTCGCTTGTGACCACTAAATAACAGAAGACATATTGAATTCCCTAAAATTTGGGCGTTTTTATATGTGTAAATACCTTCTTGAAGGAGCCAAAGATGCATCAAATCTTGGTGGAGGAGGAGCATCATAACGATCGGAAGCTGATGTACGTTTACGGTCATCACTATAACGATCATCACCACCACGCTTGTTTAGACGTTTAAGAGGATCATCACGAGTCTCCATAATTCTTTAAAGTGTGACAGCAGAATGCAGCAAAACAAACAAGATGCACAAAGAAAATGTGGAAGAAGAGAAAAATAAAATCAATATTAGTAAATGATTTTGCCAGACCAAAAGTCTAACTAAGAACCCCACAAACTAAAATTTGCAATCAGCTTATCATTTTCATTTTTCTAAAGGGGTACTATTACGAAAAACACACGCATTAAAAGCAACTTTTTACAACTCGTCAAAAACCAACGAGGATTTGTTTTGGGGGAATTTTGGAATGAAATATTTGAAGGGAGAGTAAGAGACATCAATGTTTTCTTCGAGAAAAAACAATTAAATATCATTTGTTACTGCGTAGAGATTTGATGAATAACTCACGGTTATTGGAAAAAATTTGGAATGATTGTTTTTTAGAAAAAAATATATATGAATCATTGCTTAAATCTAGGTAATACTTCATGGAAAAATAATGTAGTGTGCACTTTACGCGTGTTATAGTAGTTTAATTTGGATTTGACTTTTGTAAACAACTTAGCATACTTCATTTGTTGGCGTTTAATTTCTAGACGTTCCAATTCAAGTTTCTCACGCTCCAACTTCTGGCGTTCGCGTTGCAAACGCAGCAACTCAGCTTTTTCACGTTCTAAACGTTCACGTTCCAAATTCAATTTTCTACGCTCCTCAGCTAAACGTTGTTCTTCGATGCGTTGACGCTCTCTTAGTTCTCTACTTATTCTTTCTTCCTCACGCATTGCACGCTCACGTTCACGGATACGCTGGCGTTCTCGTTCTTCGCGTATTTTCTTATACGACAGTATTTCTCTTTGACGTATACGCTCTCGTTCACGTTGACGATGGTCTCGTTGGCGATCATGATGGCGACCGTTGTTGTTATTGTTGTGATGTACTGAACGACGTTTTAGAGATGAAGTATCAGAACGGCCGCGATCACTGCGACTGGAACCTTTGACATCATCTTTCTTGTCTTTATCGTCTTTGGTACGTGAAGTTTTATCTCTGTCATCTTTTTTAACACCACCATTTTCATCTTTCTTACCCGCATCACTTTTACGTTTACCATCATCCTGAGATGATTTGCCACCATCCTTGCTAGAGGTTTTCTTTTCATCATCCTTCTTTTTGGATTCTGAACGTGATGAACCAGAAGTTTTGACACCACCATCCTTTGCAGAATTTGTTGAACTACCACCAATTTCATTTTTAGTACGCTCCACAGATATAATACGTCCATGTAATTCTGTGCGATGTAAATGATCAATACAGCGACTGGCATCACTCGATGATGACATGGTAACATAGCCATAACAACGTGTACCGGGTGTACGTGTATTCGTCACTACCTTGGCTCCAATTACTTTACCATATTTCGAGAAAATCGTTTTCAAATCACTGGCTCGTGTCAATGAAGACAAACCGGATACCCACAAGTTGCGAGATGTGTTCGATGATGACGTTGATGATGTTTTACCACTGGATGATTTTGTATTGGTGGCAGCGTTGTTGTTGGATGATGATTTTTCTGGAATTTCCATATAAATAATAACAGAGTAGAGAGAGAGAAGGTTGAGTTATATATAAATTTGTTGTTTTTTTCTATTTTTTTTTTTTGGTATAAATTAAATTAGGTTTTTTATCACTTTAACTGCCACTTTTACTGAAACACTTTTCTTTTGTGTGTATATTATTATGTGTGTTTGTTTTCAAATACTTTAAGACTAAATCTAAACACTCGTTTTATTTTGTTTGTTAAAACAAAATGTCTGTCTATGCAAGAAAGTGTGAATTTAATATTAAATATGAGGATTGTTAGTTGATCATTTCAGCAATATACTGCAACTGTAGGTGAGAAGTTATGCCACACGATCCTTAAAATGTATGCAGCTTGCTTTTTGGCGTAACTTATTCCGTCTTAATTTTGTGTCTCATATTGATTTGTAATTTCCAACATATTTTTGTTTCCAAGTTTTAAGATTATTGTCAATCCAATTAGAGGATCCATGTATCTTATGTTTTTGAAAATAGTTGTTTAAATCGTATTGCAAAATTAATTTTTTCTCTTTGTTTTTCCTTATTTGTGGAAATATATTTTCAATTGGTAATAGAGACCTTGTAAGTTGTAACGCCAAACATGTAAAGAAAATATTTTTATCGATAAATAAGTTATAATGATGATGTACCCGCCAAGAAGTAAACAATTGTATAATTATCGGCGATAAAATCAACACTTGCCTTTCAAGGGTTTCGGATTTGTTATTTTAATACTATTTCCTATTTTCCCAAAGATTTCTTTCAAAAAGTCTGTTGTTTTTATAATTCCAAGGCGTATTTCTTAATAACTCCAGAATTGATTATTCTATATTTTTTCGAAGTTCTTTTGCCACTAAGCAAACGGCAGCTGATTGAAGATTTGTTAAAGATGAAAACAAAGTAGAACAATTTGACCTTTATTGAACCAATATCACGACTTTCATTAAACTTAAGAATATCTCCAATTCGAGTCGACTCTTATGACAGATACTTTATGCTTCGATAGGTTGACATTAGAATTATAATGATGCTGAAGATATTAATAAGCATTCAAGTTTTATTAACACGCTGATGTACATAGACTTCAAGCATAGAAGCTTGTAGATTCAAAAATGATGTCTATTGCCGTCATATTGTGTTATTTCTTAAATATTGATGTCACTATCGCAGGATAATAAACGTTTTTTTAATCCTTCGTCATTATTTTATCAATAAAATAATATAGTTTCATTATAGTTTGGATTAGAGTTTATATTCGGACGGTATTCGTTTATCATTTATTGAGTAAGCGTCAACGTGTTAAAGGTTATACATATTTCATGACTTCTTTATCACTTTTTTTATAAACTCTCAATAAGTAAATAACAGCAGATTTCTGTAACAAGTATTTCCAATGTCCTTTATAATATTCTTAAAACCACAGCACTCCAGAATTTTGAAGACAAAATTTTTATTATCGTCTTCAGCAAAACTTTCAACTTATCCTAAAAGTGCCCCTAGCAATTCTACGCCAAGAGATCTTCCACAACCATTAATTAGCAAAGTGATATTAGCACTTATCTATTTGTTATCTATATGATTTCCTAATAATTTTGGTGTATCGTTGCAGGATTTTTGATGAATTAGCAGCTTTTCATGTTTTAATATCCACCATTATCTATATTATTAAACATTCTAGGATATTTTAACTCCTCCTCGCCATAGACCTTACTTACAGTTTACGTATTTCGTTGTTTTGCTCTATTAGAAAGACGATCATCATATTTTTTTCCAGCAAGTTGTTCGTTGTATCACATAAATTCACACTTTCTTGCAAATAAATATTTTCGTTTATCTTTTCTTTTTCTCTTCTTTTGCTTAACCTGCTTATCAAACACTGTCACTTCTTGTTATTTACTTAAATAAAGTTCATATATACATACTCTAACAAGTTTAAAGAAATATTCTAAATTTTTCTTAAATTTCCTTTCAACTTTGTATTTAAAAGTTACCTTTATCATCTTTGGATTTAGATTTATCGCTGAAAAGAATATTAAATATTTTTATTAAAGATTTTTTTGGCTAAAATTTATTTTCTTTAAACTTACTCCTCTTTTTTATCGCTAGATTTATCATCTTTCTTTTTATCCTTATCATCTTTGTGACTGAATTTTTTATCATCCTTGCTTGATTTTTCTGATTTACCATCCTTTGAGGATCCCTTGTCTTTTTGATGAGAAGCTAGGAATTTACACAAAAAAAGTTAGCAGCAAGTTTGTTAATCAAGAGCTTTATACATAATAAAATATCTGAGCTCCTTTTTTTTCTGTATAATACTTAAGTTCAAATCAGAGGATGAAGCGATATATCTAGACATTTTGAAGAAATATGGAAAAGATGGAAGATTTTTTAACAGAGCCCTAACTAAGGACAGGACAACTACTAATAAGCTATGAGATTTTTGTTTATACCATTCCTCTTCACTATATTTGCACTTATTATGTAACCATTAACGATACATTTGTTGGAAGAAAATGGTATCCTATTTTTTAAAATGATTCTTCTGATCAGTTTCGATATAGTATTTGTTAATAATTTTTGAGTAATTTGTAATTTGAATTGTTATTCGTTTTGTAGGGAGAGATTTAGTAACAAGTTTTAGAGAACACGACAGATAATGCTCTGCTATCAAATAAAACGTTATCTGGCTGTATACTGTATAAAAAAATAGGGTATGTTTTCAAACTGATATTCTATGAAAACATGTGGTATAAGAAAAAATTAACAAATATAAATAAGCATTTCAAAACTTACCAGTTTTCTCTTTATCATCAGGAGCCTCATCATGCAATAACTGCTGTTCATCCTCACCAATTGTTAAATTAATACCTTCTTCATTATCATTATTACCAGCATCACCATTAGTTTCATCTTCATTGTTTAATAAATCATCCGTTTCATTATGTTCATTATTGGCTCCATCTTCTTCCTCATGAGCTTCTTCATGATCAATATCATCTTCAGTATCCTCTATGTCATTTACTATGACGCATTCATCATCAACATCGCCGACCTGATCGACTTCATCATCATCGTCATGACCATAATGTTCATCTTTTTGAGATTCTTCTTCTTCATCTGCGGGTTCTTCCTTTATCTGAATATCTTCTACGGGTTCCTCTTTAGGTTCTGTTTTATTTTTAGTATTTTTATCTTCTGTCGTACTAGTTTTAGGAGTGGCAGGCTTTTTTGCCGGAGTACCTTTGCCTAATGTAAATAAATGTTTAGCCGGATCTAAGCCTTCACCTTTTATGGCCTGAACGCAAAATTTTCAATTAACTTATAAGGGATAAATAAAAAACTTCGTTAAATTACCTTTTCCAATCGTTCCATTAGAATAGACTTTGGTCCAATTGTGTCTAATTTTCTTTTTTCTAATTCTTCCTTAAGGTCACACACACGTAATTCATTTAATTTTTTGCCTGAGTCAGACATTTTGTTAAATTGTCTTTTAAACACTTTTATTAATTGCCTTTATTATTAAGAATATTGTTTAATTATTACACAGCTTTTTAGCTTGCAATTTATTTCCAAAAATTCAATAAATTTCTGATAATTTTTCAGTCTGCAATGCTGTATGGAAAAATTTTTCTTCAAGAATAAAAATGGCGTAAAAATTATGAATAGTGGCCAGAGCCCTGCGCCGACAAATATTAACGGCGGCGGCGACTGACACTAAATATGTCGGCGGCGGCTTAAAATCGACTGTAAGCCGGCTAAGTTTGCAACTACGTTTAGTTTTTAATTTTTCAACGATTTTAAATAAAAAGTAGGATTTTGGAAGCAAATATATTGTTTATAACAACAAAACAGAGCAAACTCAAAAGTTGTATGAGAAATTATGCAGGGATGAATAAAAAATTCTTAAAAATTAAAAACAAATCCTTTCTCCAAGTTTTACTAGGATCTGCCGATATTTAACCCTATCTTCCATATAAAACATTTTGCAGAAAATCAGTTTCTAAAAAATTTTGCATTAAGAAAATGATCAATAACGTAAAAACAAAGATATTTTATTTGTTTATTTACTAGCTATACCCAGTGTGCTGTGCTACCCTAAAAGCAATATAAATAAGAAACCTACTTAACAATTTTGATGATTCTAACTACACTAGTTTTCCAGATATACAATTTGTTACATATGGGAGATTCCACGTTTAATTTAATCTATGAAAAATTTGAATAATCTAATAGTTTCCAGATATACAAAATTTTGTATTTAATTCATATGGGAAGTGCCAAGCCCCCCATTGAAAGTTCGCCCGTTATTCTCTAAATGTTCTTCAGTAAAATTTGAAGATTCTAGCTCTAATAGTTTCTCAGATATACGAATTTTTCTATTTAATTCATATGGGAGCTCCAAGCCCCCCAGATGAAAGTCCGCCCTTTTTTCTCCAAAATGTTCAGATGAATATTAAAGTTGTTCGTGCAAAATTTGAAGAATTTAGTTATATTAGTTTCCCAGATAAACGAATTTTTGTATTTAATTCATATGGGAGGTTTCGCTCCCCTCATTGGTAGTCCCCCAATTTATTACCCAAAATGTTTACATGGATGTTAAAGTTCTTCCAGAACAACATCATTTAAAGGGATCACAAAGAGATTGAAAAATATTCCAAAAGTTTCACTTTGAAAACATTATTAGAATGTATGAAAACTCGTAACTTTAAAGGCAGACTATTCCTATTTTAGCGGTAATTTATGGTTAAAATAAGTAAGAAGTAAGAGTTATATTCGGCAAATCATATGTCGTAAAAAAACAAATTTCGGAAGTGGTCCGATCATTAGATTAATAAGAACGTCACCGTGATTTTCAGATTAGGGACTTAAATGTGGATTTGGATCAATAATATATATAATTTAAAGTATTTTTTTTAATTCTACTATAATTCTATCATAATGATAACTTTTGGAATGATGTATTAGCTATAAACTGATTTTCTGTAAGAGGGTTATATTGGCGGACCGATCCTCATAACTTTATTTTTCGGTTCCAAAAATGTTTTTTTCGTCGACATCGACATTTGAAATCCATTTATGTACGTTTAAGTCATTTTCTCAAGAAGATTTCATATACATATTTGCATTACATATTTTCGTTCCAACAAAAATTGTTTTATTATGGTATTATTAAGTACGTAAAAAACGTTAAAATCAATTATTGAAGGGGGCAGGGTCAATTATGGCCTATAGAAATTTCGATTGATATCGAGCCATTTTTGCAAAATGGACGTAAGCGAGATACATTTTCGTTCAATTAGGATACTGCGTGTTTAATTTTATGTTTATATATTCAATATTTTAGAAAATTCAAAAAGTACTAGTTAAAGAACGAAAAATTACCGGAAATACTCCAGTTTAAATTTTCATTCACTCAAGTCCCTGATTGCTTACACAGAAAAAATTAATTTTAAAAAATTTTCAATTAAACGATTAATCAAAAATTTTAAAAGGGTTCAATTCATTTTGTATTTGATTCATAAAAATGTATAATCAAATACGTATTTAACAACAACAAAAATAGAAAAAAATAAAAATTTTGTGTACGAAATCAATTATAAGTAGTAATTGAATATACAATTTTTGTTATAGGATGAACTTCAAAAAATAAAATAATTGAAAACGAGGTTTTGGTAATTGAAATCGTTTTTCAGTTTTTTCTGTGTAGTTTTATGTTTTTAGGTTCATTATAATAGAAAATTCAAATAGAACCAGTTGAAGAACGAAAAAGTTCCAAAAAGTCCCCTTTTATATGTTATCACTTAATCCGGGCTGTACATTCCTAATTTCATGTTTATAGGTTCAATATTATAAAAAATTCAAAAAGTACCAGTCGAAGAACGAAAAAGTACCAAAAAGTCCCCTTTTAAATGTTATCACTTAATTCGGGCTGTACATTCTTAATTTCATTTTTCTAGGTTCAATATCAGTGATTAAAATTACTAATATATTAGTAACCAAAATGCATATTTTCTCCTATGCATACGTATGTAATATTAAAATATAAATATATTTTATGAATATAATATATTTAATTGCTACCATTCGAAATATTTCTAGTATTTTTGCTAAAAATATTTACCCATACAAACTATTGCATATTACAGCTTACAGACAAATATAAAATGTTTTCACATACAATATATTACGCAGCAACTCGCTAACATATTTATAATACCCACATATATTTCATATGGCTTGCCTATAATATTAAAATATTTTCCTACACAAATTATTCGAAGTCAACAATATTGAAGCCATGCAAGCAGTAATATACGAACATGAAATGTACGCAAGCAGAGCATATATGTGCCGACGAAAACACGAAACAAAACGATAGTCGCGACTATCAGGTTACAATATTTTTACTATCAAACTTAAATATTATTTACTATAGGAAATGACTTATGGTCTAAAATTTAACATTTCATGTTGAACTTGAAAAATTATAAAATGTGAAAAATGTATGCAAGATATAACCAAATTTTATTTAGAAAATAATTGAAAACGTTTATATCTATGTATGTTTTATGTATATTATGGGAAAAATGTATGCATGAAATAACCAAATTTTAATTAGAAAATTTTTGAATTGAATTATTGAATGTATGTATTTATTAAATTTATGTTTAATTTTTATGTGGAGTATTAAAATGTATGTATTTGTATTGATTGTAATATAATTAGAAAAAAATTATATAAATACTTAGAGGATCATATGAATGTAAAAATATATTCAAATATGCAACACCATTTATATCTGGTTTTGTATATACATATGTATGTATGTAAGTATGTGTGAAACAATAACAAAAAACACATTCGTCATAAAAATGACCTGTAACAGCACTTTTCTTTCCTACTTTTCACGCACATTCCATAACGGTGGATTACGATAGGTCATTTTTTCCCTGAATTGGTGGAGGGAAGAAGATATGTACGTGTGATGCAAAAATACATTCGTCATAAAAATGACCTGTAGTAGAAATTCTCTTCCTACTTTATCATTTTACGCACATTCCTTAACGATGGTTTACGCAAGATCCTTTTTTTTGCTTTACTTGAATTTGTGGTGGGGAGAAGAGGAAAGAAATATCATTATTATTTAGTCTCTCTCATGCAAATTCAAAAGGTTGGCAATGGCATATGCAAATTTATTAACACCTATATATTTTTTTCTTCGCGCCTGTTCATTCATTATTGTAAGATAATTGAGTGTATGTAATAATAATTTATAGAAATGTGACACATGCATATGAAAAACATACTTGTATATGTATGTAATACACTCATACATTTTTGTTGTTTTAACCTTTCACAATGTAAAATTACAAAAACAAATTTTTATGTTTTTATGTCCCCTCTTAATTTTTTGCTATCCTGTTACAAATTTCTAAAATACCTATAATTTCCTTCATTATTGATCATTTCATAGACACTACTAATGCATTACTACCTGTTTACAAACTTATTGTCATCCTGTTACAAACAATATGTTTAAATATAGCCTGTAAAAACAATTTTTTACATATATACATATTTGAATATATTTTTACATTCATATGATCCTCTAAGTATTTATATAATTTTTTTCTAATTATATTACAATCAATACAAATACATACATTTTAATACTCCACATAAAAATTAAACATAAATTTAATAAATACGTACATTCAATAATTCAATACAAAAATTTTCTAATTAAAATTTGGTTATTTCATGCATACATTTTTCCCATAATATACATAAAACATACATAGATATAAACGTTTTCAATTATTTTCTAAATAAAATTTGGTTATATCTTGCATACATTTTTCATATTTTATAATTTTTCAAGTTCAACATGAAATGTTAAATTTTAGACCATAAGTCATTTCCTATAGTAAATAATATTTAAGTTTGATAGTAAAAATATTGTAACCTGATAGTCGCGACTATCGTTTTGTTTCGTGTTTTCGTCGGCACATATATGCTCTGCTTGCGTACATTTCATGTTCGTATATTACTGCTCGCATGGCTTCAATATTGTTGACTGCGAATAATTTGTGTAGGAAAATATTTTAATATTATAGGCAAGCCATATGAAATATATGTGGGTATTATAAATATGTTAGCGAGTTGCTGCGTAATATATTGTAAGTGAAAACATTTTATATTTGTCTGTAAGCTGTAATATGCAATAGTTTGTATGGGTAAATATTTTTAGCAAAAATACTAGAAATATTTTGAACAGAACCATTTTTTAAATATGCATATTTTTAAATATGAGGTAAATGCATATTTATTGCAAAGTCAAAAATAAAAATATAAAAGCATCTACTAATATTTAAACTCTGTTCAATATTATAAAAAATTCAAAAAGTACCAGTCGAAGAACGAAAAAGTACTAAAAAGTCCCTTTTTATACATTATAATTTACTCCGGGCTCTACATATTTATTTTTATGTTTCTAGGTTTAATTTTATGGAAAACTCAAAAAGTACCAGTCGAAGTACGATAAAGTTCCCATTTTATAGATTCTCATTTATTCCAGGCTCTAAGTGCTTAATTTCATGTTTCGAGGTTCAAATTTTGTAGCAAGCTCAAAATGTACCAGTCAAAGAACGAAAAAGTACCAAAA